AGGAGGCCGGGCTGGTAGTGAGAAACAACCAGAGTCGATGGTCATGTCCCGCACTGCCCGTAGCAAAGGGTAACTCGGGTGAGTATCGGATCACGATCGACTGCAGACCCGTGAACCGCAAGACGATTCCCCTGGCTGGTGCTTCACCGAACCTGGCGGTGGCAATGAAATCCGCTCGAGATGCCTACGGGCTCGGAGCGTTTGACTTTCACAAGGGCTTTTGGCAAATGCCTCTACACCCCGACAGCCGGGGGTTCTTCAGTTTCGTCACGGAGGAGGTAGTATTCACTCCGACACGCGTGCCGCAGGGCGCCACTGACTCTGCAGTTCATTTCCAGGCACAAATGAGCGACATTCTGAAGGACTTGCTGCCTCGCAGCGTATTGGTGTGGATTGATGACGTGCTGCTCTACGCACGATCGGCAGGAGACTTCCTGGAGAACCTCGAGCGGTTTTTTGCTATCCTGAGGCAGCGCAAGCTGAAGCTGAACGCCAAGAAGTGTAAGATCTTTGCGAAGCGTGTGAAGTGGTGCGGAAAGCTCATTGACGGTGAAGGTGTCGCCCATGACCATGAGCGACTAGCTGCTTTACGACAGATGCCAATACCGCCTACTGGGGCTGCACTGCAGCATTTCCTCTGCGCTCTGAATTGGCTAAGAGACTCGATGGTAGATTACGCCCGCATCACTGCAACGCTCCAAGAGAAGCTGAAGCAGGTGATGCGCGTCCGTGGACGCCTCAAAGCGCAACGTAGTGGCGCCAGCCTGGATTGGAATGAAGCCGAGGCTGCAGCATATCGGGAGACGCTCACCATGGTGGAGCGCTCTTGCAAGCTCGTGTTCCCCGACCAGGCCGCCACCGTCTGCATGTTCACAGACGCATCGCGGACGGGCCACGCGCTCGTGTTGACGCAGGTACGCCGTTGGCAGGACGATGTACCCGTGGAGGAGCAGCAGCATGAGCTGCTTGTCTGTCGTGGTGGGCTTTTCAAGGGAGCGCAACAAAACTGGTCTATCGTTGAGAAAGAAGGCTACCCAATCGTCAAGGCTTGTGGCGATCTCGACTACATGCTGGTCCGAGAGAAAGGGTTTCACGTGTACTGTGATCACTCGAACATGATCAGGCTTTTCTCGCCAGACCATGAGGTGAAGCAACATGTGAAAGGGAAGCTGCAACGGTGGGCACTGACCCTGGTCGGGTGTCGCTATGTTATCCACCATATCGCTGGTGAGAACAGCCTGTGGGCCAATATCGTGCCCCGTTGGGGACAGCCAGCAGCAGCGGCTACGGATACGATGCTAGCAGTCAAACGAGTGACTACCCGATCTGCGCAAACTCTATCGGAGCTTGTCCACCCCAGGACGGAGAGTTCACCTGGCCTACTCGGAATGTGATTGCTGTGGCACAGCGTTCGTGTAAGCAGGATGCACCGCCAGCCACCGCAATGGACGATGGAGCACTTACCGTGAACGGCGAGCTGTGAATGCCGTCGAAGGCGAAAGCGCTGTTGAAGCGCCTGCTCGTGATTGCCCACTGCGGAATGCAAGGCCACCGTGTCATCCACGTGATGGTCGAGCTACTCGATCGTCATTTTTTGCTGTCAAACACTCGGCAGGTGGTGACTCGTTTCATCAATGAGTGCCTGCTGTGCAAGCACGTGAAAGGTGGTGCTCTTATCCAGCGCGACTGGACGGTCGATAGACCTGTGGCCTCTCGTAACGAGTGCATGCACATGGACTATCAGTACCTCGGAGAAAGCTACGGTGAGGCCAAGTACGTCCTTGTCCTGAAGGACGAGTTGACTCACTTCTGTGAGCTCGTCGCTGCGGACTCGGCCAATAGCCAGACGGCTGTGGCGGCTGTGCTGGACTGGCACAAGCGGTTCGGCATCCCCACGATGTGGATGTCGGACAACGGCACACACTTGAAGTGCCTGGTGATAAGGGAGCTCGCCGAGCGGCTCGGAGTGTCGCACTCATTTGTTCCGGTGTACACGCCGTGGATCAACGGGACGGTGGAGAGAGTGAACCGCGATATACTGCAAGTATTGAGGGTCATGCTGCTTGAGAACCAGCTTGACAGTCGCAACTGGTTTCACCTCTTACCTCTCATCCAAGCCAATTTGAACCACAGCCCCGTGATTTCGTTGGGCAACGGTGCCCCAGTAGAAAATTGTTCACGGGGCTTCCGGCGCCGTCAGCTTTGGTTATCGTGGTGCTGCCCGATGACAAGTTCCCTCGGACACTACCGCTGGAGAAGGAGGCTTTCCGCCAGGCGATTGAGATGCTCCGTCGTAGTCTCCACGCCATGCACCGTGTGGTCCGAGACCAGCGCGAGCAGCGCCGTATCGCTGCCATGACTCGCTCCAACGGAACAGTGTGCAATTTTTCGGAAGGTGTGGTCGCGTGTTGACTAGCGGCTTCAAGGAGGCAAGCTGTTGGTCCGCTGGGTTGGTCCTTTCCAAGTGGCTAAGACCTTGCCGCACTCGTTTCTCATCCGCCATCTACTTACAGGAGCTGAGTATTATGTGCACGGGTCGCGTCTAAATTTCTACCACGACAAAGATCTCGAGGTAACCGCAGAGATCCGGGAGCACGTCTCACTCCAAGGCATCGTGCTTGAGGTCCGTGCAATAGTCGACCATCGTGTGAACACTGCCTCTGGTGAGCTCGAGCTGCTGGCGGCACGGCGTGGGCTTTAAGACATTGAGAGCTGCCCACTCGATCCAGCATGATGTTCCGGCGCTGGTGGCCAAGTACGCACTGGACCATGAGGTGCATAAACTGCAGTAAAACTTTGCTCAAGTCGTCTTGGGGGCAGTGTGGCGTATGGCACACCAAGTATCAGACGACATTGCCTGAGCAGACTCAGCGAATACCGAGAGGAGGCGCGTGCCCCGATGGCTCGTGCTTCGCTCTCGCGTGCCTCCAAGACACATCGACAACGCGACTGGCGACAGCGAGCTGGCGGCACACGCCGGCGACCAGGAGTAGCCGGTGGCACGCGGCTACTGAAGTAACAGCAGGAAGGACAGGTACTGCTGCCGCAGGAGCTCATAGATAGGGATAGTTTGAGGACTCTTTGACTAATCTCACTTCGCAACTTGCTATACAGCGCGCAGTACGTCATAGGAACTCTCCGTTACATTGCTCTACATATCAGTATGATTAGCATCCTGATTATCGACGCTGTGGCTGCCCAAGATAATTTTCTGGACGGTTGTTTCGTGGCCGGCTGCTACGTCATGATCCACGCGCAGGGCTCCCGATTATGGCATTGTTATTTATCGGGAACCCTCCCTTAGCATAAATAATGTATTGGGAAGCTAGTGTCAATGCATACATTATGACATGCACAGTGATCAAACAATAAATAAGAGCATAATGCAACATCATTTTAAAAATGAGACCACCCAAAACAAAATGATATTTATGAACCTAAGTGGGTTGCATAATAGAGGTCTTTAGAAGAAACCACAACTCTGCTTTTGTCGGTTTGTCAAGACCTAAACGCTGAAAATCATACGGTAAACCGACCGTGTGAGCTCGTAGATCCCCGCAAATTTGAAAGGAAATTACGCTTTGTGGATTACATTTTACGCTTCTGTAAAAGAGCTAAATAAAGGTTTCTGTCCTGTAAAACTGAGCGGGAGAGATCATACACCGACGGTCAAATGGCACGCAGTCGAATGGCACAGCAAACTTCTTCTTTCTACTCCAACGACGTCTTTGACAACCAGTAAGGGCTACACGCTTCCAAGTATCATGAACCTACAAGTGTCTGATTCTGACTTCGCTCACTTCACCCGGAACCTCACGAAAGGCGTACCACGACACCAAAAAAATGCATTTCTTCTTCGGCGCTGGCAGCATGCTATTGAGCTTGGATGCTTTAATGAAGCCGCCATACTTCGAAGGTACTTGGAGTCAGTCATTCCCGATGACGTTGAAAAGCCTCCCTGCGTGCCGTTCAACTTCAATGCGTTGTCATCGGAAGACTGTATGCAGAAATTTCGCTTTTCAAAGGACCAGCTTATTACTTTGGTTATCGCTTTTAAGCTCGAGGGTGTTAGCACCACTGAAGGAACAGCAGCAACTGGAATTGAAGCCTTGTGTGTGATGTTGTACAAACTAGCAATTCCGACGCGCTGGGTGGATATGAGTCCACTTTTTGGCGGACGATCGGCTAGTGGACTGTCAAATATCTTCATGTACATGATTAGCTACTTGGACACAAAGTACTCTGCGTTAATCGCATTTAATCACGAATATGCAGCCATGCATTTGGAGGAGTATGCAGAGGCCGTTTTCAAAAAAGGCACACATGTTTCGAACGTGTGGAGTTTTATTGATGGAACAGTCCGGGGTATCTGCAGGCCAGGGCCCCGCAACATCGATCGGGACGGCTTTCTCATGAGTCAACAAGCGGTGTATAATGGTCATCGCAGAAAGCACGGCCTAAAATTCCAGTCGTTGACCACGCCTGACGGATTAATTTCTCATGTTTATGGCCCCTTTCCCGGAAGAAACCACGACATAACTTTATATCGCCACTCAAAGCTCTCCGAGAAGATTCGCAGCGATGAAAGATTTATACATTATCGGATTTTTGGAGACCATGCTTATGGACGTGACGATGTATTGTGCTGTCCGTTTGGAGGGGCTACTCTCACTGCTGATGAGAAATTAGTCAATGATGAAGAAATCTTTTCATAAAATTATGGTATATGTAGACTGGCTTTTTAGCAAAATAAACTATTTATTGCATTCGTGATGTCGACGAAATGAATATATTTATGCTTTCATAAGAAAGTATTGACAAGACCATGCCATAATCGGGAGCCCTACAATACGGCCTTCCCCTACTGTGATGCAGACTACCAAGACGAGCCGTTCTACATCCGTAACACCACGGAATACATGTCGATTGCATCGATAAATTCAATAATTTTAAGTTTTGTACAATTTTGATTCAGATTTTTCACATGATAAGTTGACATTCTACTCCAGTCTAGAGACGAGTTTACGCTTACGTCTCCATCGCCAGCGCATGGACGACACGTGCGTCTCTGCGCCAATCTCCTCCTCGAAGCACAAGTTGTCCAGCAGCTCATACAACGCGCTGCCGTATCGCTCGTTCATCCACGTGACGAACAAACTGCGTCGGAAAAAGTGTTCGCGCTCTTCCAGCAGGTACGAGGCAAAGCACACGAGGTAGAAGTAGCGTTCCAGGTAGTTCACAGCGCGCAGCATAAAGAAGTCGCGCTTTGAGCTGGGAAGATCGCGATCCACCGCCAGGTCGCGACATTGACTGATGCAGTCGCGTAGGTTCTGCATGTGTTCGCACTGGTCGATAGCGTAGTCGACCAGAAGCTTGCAGTCCGATCCGTTGTCCAACGTCTTGAGCAGTTTACGGATCACGACGAAGTCGCCAATAACCGCAGCAGATTGGCGACGATGACCTGCGCTTCTAGCGCTCAGGATCTCCTTCAGTAGACTCGGCTGACTCGACGCGCTGTCCTCAAGCACCACCCGTAGCATGTACACACAGACGAGAGCTGTGGTCGTGCGACCTCGACCCATCTGACAGTTGCAAATGACGGCTGTCTTCTTCTTCTTTTGAGGCGAATTGTTCTCTTCTGACGGCAGTTGGAGACCCAGTTCGTTCATAAATGCAGGCAGCAAGAGACGCACCATGTCGTCCAAGTCTTTTTCCTCCGGTGCCGTCTCGTCCGACACGGGGATACGCGCGTACCGTAAGTCGAACTCGGTTTGTTGCGTGGCGAGCTCGTAGACTTCAGTCAACGTCTTGACGTCAGTCTGCGGGTTAATGTGCTCCATCGTCTCGTCGTTCACCATCTCTCGAGGTTCGTACCAATACATGAACAAGCCGTTGTCATTGTAAACTTTGGCTTGGAGTTCCAGCTTCACTTGTTGTTCGATAGCGGTGATTTCGTCCACTTCGATCCCCGGGTACTCCACATTCACCATGAGATCATCTTGGTGACGCACACAGAACGGTCGTCCAGAGACGTAGATGACTGCTTCTTCGCGCAAGTTAATCCAGATGGCACGGTCGAATTCGTCACGTAAGTGGTCCACTACATCAACGATGCCTTGCTCCAGACACTGCGCCGTACCAAAGATGGGTTCGTTCGCAATCCGTCGGTAGTTCGGGACGTTCGGTGTCAGTTCGAAAGGAATCCGCGCGATACCGAAGAAATGGTCCATCTTCAGTACACAGTTAGCCAGCACCTTGTCGGACTTGTAGCGTACACCACCCAGATCATCCAATAAGCGGAAGAGGTTTGGGTGTTGCTGGAGCCACTTGGAGAACGACGGGTGTGTGTCTTCAGTCTCCGAGTCTGGAGCAGGCTCTTCTGCGCTCTCTGTCTGGTGGGTTTCGAGCATGTACGCTCCGAACACGATGAGGTAGAAGTATCTCTCCAGGAAACTCATAGCGTGGTGCAGATAGTACGAGCGCTTAGCAGGCTTCGCTTCCGCGTTAGACAAGTCCCGATACTCGTGGATAACCGAACGAATGTTGCAGATGAGGGCACACTCGTCGATGGCAGTGTCCACCCATCGCTTCGCTTCTGGCCCATACTTCAAACGTGTCTGCACCTCTCGGATGACTGCGAAATTGCCTGATCCATTCCGGTTTTCAGCCATTTCTTCTACTTCAGGCGTCAACGTCTTCATGTCCACAGAGTTACGTTGGCAGATCAGCCGTGCGATCACCATTGCTGTAGTTGTACGTCGCTTCCCCATTTGGCAATTGAAAACGAAGGCGGTGGTTCCATCGTTCCTAGTATCTTCCATCAACTTGATCAGCATTTCCACGTCGCCTTGCTCCGGGGCGTTTTCCCGCTCAAAAGGGATCCGACGGTACTCCAGACTCTGGATGGTGTCCTTGTATTTGGCCACTTCGGTACTTTCATACAGCTCTGGCAGCGTCAACACGTTCTCAGGCTCCGCAGTGTCCTCGACCAGCTCGTTTTCTCTCAAAGCCACTTCTTGCCAGTACTCAAACCGGTTATCAGCCGCCTTCAGCTCTTCCTGCAGACTCATCTTCATAGACGACTCCAGTACTTGAATCTTATGCCCCGTCAGTCCAGGGACCAAGTCGTTCTCGTTCAGCATCGCACTGCGTCGCGCTGTAAATGGCCTTCCATTCACGTAAATCACCGCTTCCTAGAAGATAACCAAACTCAGTACTTTGATTGACTAAAACAGCACATCAATACTCCTCGCAAACCTCTCTCAAGTTCACCCACACCACTCTGGAAAACCCGTCCGCCGCCACTTGACTCAGAATCATCTGAATTCCGTCCTACAAAGCAGCAAGAAGCAGCAAATTTAGCCTAAAACAACCCTAAAAACCCACGCTTCGCACGTACCAGTGACGGCTGTGCTGATCCATACAGCGGCGTGCCCGGCAGTCGTCGGAAATTGGGTGCAATGTCTCCATGCGGCGTGTCCAGTTCGTGGCAATTGGGGAATCTGTCGGCCTTGAGCACGTATTTATTAAGCACTTTAGTGCCCTGTACCATAAGACTCTGCTGCCTGGTCAGCGTCTGTCTCTGCGTCTTGCCCCTCACCAGAGCTTGGATACGGATGGCCGCTTCGCTCTGCGGCTGTTTGCCTCGCAATGCATTGGCTGACAGTGTTTTATTGCCCGTGACCAGGGCGTGAAGTCTATTGGCAGCGTCATTAAGGTACGTCTGAGGAGTCACGCTCCTTCTGGGGGTGGAGAGACGATGGGACGGCGGAGAGCGCACCACCATCTTGTGCAACTTCGCTGCAGCCCCGCTGATGTAACTTAACGGCCTGGAGTCACCGCTTGAGTTGTTGGAAGAGCCCGCACTGGAAGAGCTCTCCCGGCGCTGCTGTTGCACGAACAGCGCACGCACTGGCTCGAGCAGCAGGCGGAGCTCGCTCTCCGGGTTCTGCGCCTGCTGGATCTCCACCGCGCGCGCGCAGATGCTCTCCAAGAGTGCGTCCACTTCCTCCATTTTAGTGGAGAACGCCACTTATTAAAATTGATTTTTTATGGCTTGATCATCGTAGGGTTTTACTGTACGTATTTTCTTAAGTACGAACTCATTCCTTTTAATAACGTTGTTTTAGTGATGCCGTCAGGAATGTATCACTATTCGGAGAAATTATTATTCACTGGAATTCTTCATACAAAATCTGCTTCTAATGTCAATGCTGGACTATTAAATCATAATTGTTTTTTCATATATCACTGATATATCGATCTCCCCGTACGGATTCAGTGTGGACCTTAATTTTTTCTGTCTTAGTTAATATTTGATACCCTCGATGATGTAATTTCAAGTGCAATGAAATGCCTTTTGTGGGTGCGCTCTTGTTGCACTCAAAATATTCCCTGCTAAAGTGCCCTCTAATGCACTTTAGCACGTCAGATACGCGCCAAATATCTCACAGCGAATACCTCCGATGCAGTACTTAAGTACACCAATACCTCCATGGGTTTCTGCACGCCGTGCTCGTCTTGTGGTTCTCGAGGATTTAATCCAGTGCATCGAGCCATGATCCGTGTGTACCAAACCTAATTACTGAAGATTTTCTGAGAATGGCATGTGATATTTTTCTTTGACTCGCAGTATTCTACGAAGCGAGCATTTCCAATTCAATTAGGTCGATGCCCCTACCAACTTCTAATAATAGCGTTAGCGTCGCGGCCACCGTCCCACCTAGAAAAGCTAGGCTCACTTCTATTTCTGGGCCTCTTGCAGCTTCAAAAAGAGTTGATACTCTCGACTTAACTCCTTGGCTCGACTATTGTTCTCCACCCCAAGCAGTTTTTCAACGTACCAATTCGGTCGCTTTGCTTTGATCCAAATTCGAATTCTTGCCTCCATTTCTGCTGGAGATGGGCTGGGGGTGATATTTGTGAGCTTGTCGCTCTTCTTGACACGCTGGAAAAATTGATAGTCAAACTCGGTCGCATATCGCAGGTACATCCTGTACTCAGCATTATTCATGAGTTGCTTGGCAGGGATTGCATTCAACCCCAACTCTGACCAGGCCCCCTGCGGTGGGACCTCATCGTATAGCCACTTCTTTACCTGGCGCGTTTCTAAGTTGTCCACAGCCATGGGACGTCTTGAGTTAATTTTAAACTCCTCGTAGTACTTGTATTTCGGATTCTTCTTCAGCTCAGTTCCTTTCAGCCCCTTCAGTCCAAGCGCCTCCTTGACATAGTCTTTCGACTTCCCCATTTTTGTCCAGTAATATACTTGCGCCTGCCTGATGAGCGAGGATATCTCTCTATCCTCGGTGTCAAGGCCGTTGTATCCCATATTAAGTCTTCGCAGCAGTTTTCCATCGTTGTAGCGAATGGTAGGTGTGATTTTGATAGCCGCTAGCTTGGAAACCTCCGCAGATGCAAGAGCATCGATGCTAATAGCAGCGACTGCGAGAAGCGTGAGCAGCACGACGTGGTAGAAGTGCATGGTCGAACGCGTGAAGTTTAGAAAATTGCGATTTTTCTGGAGACTTGCAATCGAGCCAGCAGTTTGAGAACTGAAATAAAATCCTGTGGAGCGTCCTTTGCACCGTGCAGTGGTTTGCAGTAAACATTATGGAAAACTCCGGATATTGCTACATAATAGAGACGTTTCGCAAACTTCCGCTATCGCTACTATTATTGTTAATAATAATACATGCAGCGGAGAAAGCAAAAACAGTTGGGGAACCGGCTAGCTGGTGCCATTGGCGGCCAATTTGGCCATCTACTGTATTAATAATGGCGATGAACTTTTGTTTCTCGGCAGCTGTTTTTGGGGAGCCTCACTAAACGGATACTATCATAAAATCTGAGTTAACGGGTTTAGATGTCTAAATGCGTAACCGTGGGACCGTAAGCATATCAGCATATTCTAAGAGCGCTAGCTTTGGGCGAGATTCAAGTGCTGCAAACCTCACAGTCGGAACGCTGTCTGGGCCGATAATTGGTCTTATCAAGTACGCAAACGGCGAGTGATCGATGAACATTTTTATTGAGATTACTATGAGCTCTCTAATTCTTCGATGTTATTGTCGTGAATGAAAATCAAGTCACAGCCTATTAATATATCCTCCTCTTATTTCGCACGATAGGCGTGAGTGATACGGAAGTCGTGCAGATGGTATGATCAATCTAGTGCAGCACGCATTGCTCTATGATACGTCAGCGATATTGCAATCAGTTCTTTTTAATTAATACATGTACAGCTAAAACTTAATTAATAGCAAGTATTGGAACAGTCAATTAAATTGGACCAGGAATCTTTACCACATTGGCCCGTTGCAGCAATACTTTTAATCTTGAATAAACTAATGACACATCGGTATCGCGCAGTATGACGCGCAGCTGTAAACTAGAAGGGACAGTTTCTGTGTTGTTCGTTGGGAGCACTTGGTGACCGTACGTTTATAGAGAATCGCTTCCCAGTGAAGATACAGACTCCGCCCAGAAACTGAAAACTACTTCCTGCTTATAACCTTTCAAAATCGGCTGTATTAGGCTTAGCATATTCAGGAGGTGATGTCTGTCTCACGCAAATGTGGTTCACACTAACTGTTTGAATTTCGAATCCTACCGCCAATTGCATCATTGCACGTCTTCGAGCAGAGCAGAACAACGAAAAGCACAAAAGGTCTCTGGCTAACTATCAACCAGAAGTGCAAGGTTATTGAAAAACATTGTCGCTGTCCCTCCCTGACACTGTCCGAATTGGCGCACTGGGCGCTACATGCGTTGCGAGGCATCTGGAACATGGACGAAACTGGGCTCCTGTATCGCTCGGCAAAGACTTAGGGCATATGCATGAAGAGCACTCCTGGTCTAAAGAAAGACAAAACGAGAATAACGGTGGCGTTGGTGGCTAACGCTGACGGATCTGAGAAGCGTCCAGTGGTCTACATTGGCGGTAAAAAGCAAAGTGTGTGTTTGTAAGAGGACGTCCGACCCAAAATTTAAAATCAGATCATTGCGGCGTGTCATCCCTCGGCGAGGAGGGTAAAACCGTAGAGGTTAATTGCTAGGGTGGTGATGGGCAAAGGTAATTGCGCATCCGATTCGCGTAATCATAAAATCTGGCAGGGTCTCGACTGATACCGGTGCCGAATTGGAGGTGCACGACTGTAGTGAAGATCTCCCCGCTTGTAACCTTGTAACCTGTCGGTCTGTCCGTCCGTCAGTCCGTCGCATTCCCCGTCTTGCTGCTTTTTCCTGCCTTTTCGCATGGCTACACTCGGCCTGTCTTATACAGTTTCCTCCTATCCTACCGACCGCGCCTACCTTTCTGACTCGACCTAACTATGCTAAAATTACAAATATATCCAAAAGCGTGACACAATTAAATCGCGCCCTGATTGGGCAATATTTTTCGACTCACTTTTCATTCAAAACACAAAATTGGATTTTTGAGCGACGGCGCGGAGAGGACAAGGTGCGCTGGCTGTATAATAGCAGTAGGGTAGTTTTAGATGTATATGCATGTATGTACGGGCGTGGGGCTCCTTGCCCTACTATATATTCAAGAGAGACCTCTCAGGATACAGTCTGAGGCTTGCCCCGAGACTCCAAAGTGGTATGGCAGTTGGTAGCGATAGCAATCAGGTTGGGGTGGGTGTGACTGGGAGCGTCTACCACCATGCACGCGCCTAGGGGTCCTAGACCCACCGCGAGTGTCCACGCTCCAAAAGCGAGTGGCGCGTGCTGCCAATTGGCCAAACCGAAGTTGCAGTTACATGCGGAAGAATCGTTACAGTCCCGCATTACAGATGTGCTCTTAAAGTGTGAGCTCCCACATCAAAACACACTTTGCGAGAGCACTTCTGGCGGGACGGAAAGGAATGCAGCAGTCGGTCTCGCAAGAGCAAGGAGCCCAAGACCAAGTGCAAGGACAGCTCAAGAACAAGAGATCAATACAAAAACACTTTAAGAGCACGGATGAGCCCCGCGCCTGTACACTTAAATATCATAGCGTCATAATAGACAGTTTTGGAGCATTTTCGGAACTGTGTGAGCCCCGTGAGGGGCTGGGTCGTTCTCGGACACCCTGCGCATACTACTGACATGATCTGAAGGGCTGGACGGTATCGAACAGACCTGGGCAACCACTCAACAGGGCTGAGGCAACAGCTTTGACGTACCCAAGAGGCAACAGCGCGATGCGGCGTCTGAATTACCATGTACAGCTGCTTGGTCCACAGCCGTGCTAGGTAATTTGGATCCGTCGGACCGTGAGCTGAGGGCTGTAACACGTCGGCCAAGGGGAGGGCCTAAGCAAAAGCTGACTGGACCAACAAGCCGCCTGGAGTGACGATACCCCTAAGTTGTTTGTAATCCGAGGAGCCGGGATGGAAATGACAGTGATGTGTTCTATTCACAGAGAGCTTCTGGATTAGTACTGGAAAGGAAAGTTCGGGGTTCTATTCGAATACCACGTTGCTTAAGCTACTGTGTCTATGTTCTGGTGCTTAGATTCATAAAATAGCTGTAGAATAGCTCCCAGTGCACTTAGACTTTCGAGTCTAACCGCCCATGTAGTTATTTTCCATTTAGATCAGGCGATAGACGCGTTCAAGGTAGAAGGACATGGCAAGAGGCCCGAGAAAAAGAAAAAGGTTCCCCAGCAAATGCGTAGCGGGCTTTGGTGCAGAATTAACTCGACTAACTCTGTCCATTGGTTAGAATTACCCGCGAGGAGCTAGACGATCGCGTGCAACGGGCCCGGCGTGAGAACGCATCCCAATCCCACGAAGAATCGCGTAAGGATAGACAGCTCCGTAAACAGAGGCTTCGTACCGCAGAGGCCCGCTACCGCAAGGCAATCCAAGAATTGGAGCAGCTCGAGTTAGTTGAAGCTCACGCCGCATCTGAATCAGGACTGATAAGAGTATCCAGTCCAGCTGTAGAGCGTGAGGAGAAGACAGAGGAAGATGATCCCGGCGAGCATCAGCGACGATTCGAGGAGGAGACGCGTCGCGAAGGCCAATACGAGACCCACGGATTTGAGATTGGAATGTCAGGACCTGTGACCGAAAATACCACAGCAGCTACACGTGCACGCGGTGCAGAAAGAGCCCGGATTAGGCGAGCTACCATGACGAGCTCACAAAAACAACGGGCACGAGCAAAAGATGCGGAGAGGAAGCGAATTCGTAGAGCTAACAGATCCGAATCCCAGGTTATTCGAGATTGGGACCGAAATGCCGAACAAGCGAGGGTACGACGGGGTCGACTGGAGCCAGAAAACTTCTTAGCTCATCAAGCATATGATCGAGACGCACAAGGCAGCCTCGGAGCCACCAGGACAGAGGAAGACAGTCCAAATGCAAGGATTCGCCATACAATGGAACACGAAGTTTGCAGGGAAGGCATGTCGAATGAGCAGCGCCAAATTGAGCGCGAACAAAATGCAGAAGCGCACCGATATCGCCGAAATGCCATGTCCGATCAACAGCGTCAAACTGACCGCGATGAAAATACAGCATCGCGGAGAGAGCACAGAGAAGCCATGTCTGAGGAGCAGCAACAAACAGAGCGCGAGCGAGATACAGCAGCGCATAGAGATCGCAGAAGAGGCATGTCCGATGAGCAGCGGCAAGCACAGCGCGCCCGAGAAGCTACCGCGCTTATAGCACGAAGGGAAGCCATGACGGAAGAACAAAGGGAGCTGCGAAAAGAGAAAGAGCGGTTCCGCCGGCGGTCTCGGCAGTATAAGAAGGGCCTCGCACACCACGAAAGTTTTGACCCTTCCAGAGTTTCCGGGGGCCGTCACTACTTCACGCGCTACACAGACGCCAATCGGGAGAGCGAGCGGGTTTGTCACTACTGCAACGCTTGGAAGTTTCCGCAAGAGACAGATGGATGCTGCTGTCGTAACGGACTGGTGTTCGTTCCATCTTCGCGAACAGCACCTGATGCGCTTCTGACACTTTTCGAAAACCCGACCTTCATGCGGTCAATCCGGGCCTACAACAACGTATTCGCGTTTACGTCCATGGGAGCTTCGCGGTCTCGGCCTCTAAGCGTTGACGAAAGCGTGACACGGAATGGTGTCTACAACTTCCGTGTACAAGGGTCAGTGTGTCATCGCATGGGATCGTTACTACCTCCAGCATTCGGCCGCTCCATGTATGCCCAAGTTTACTTTAACGATCCCGACATGGATGCCCGTGTGAGAAGCCGTATGAACATGACCCAAGGCCTCGATCGTGCCGTCATGGAAACAATTGACCAGATGATGGTGGCGCACAACCCGTATACACAAGAATTTATCAACGCGCGTAGATTTTTGATAGATCGTGGTTGGGATGCGTATGCAGCAGCCATCAGGGAGCACGAACGACGCCGCTCGGCAGGGGAAGACGTTGATGATCATGACCCGTCGTTAGCCTTGAGTAATTTTCTTCCGGAGGGGGATCACCTTAAGCTGCGTCTGCACGTCACACGGAATGCGAACCCGGGTACGCATAACACCCCAACTGCATCAGAGGTGGCAGCCGTTGTGATCGATACAAACGCTGCTGAGCATCGGGATATAATCCTACACACGACCGGAGGAGGTTTCAAACGCATATTTGAGACGAGCGTTACCTATGACCCGCTGCAGTACCCTCTACTGTTTCCGTACGGGGAGAATGGATGGACTTACGATATCCCGTACGCTGGTAATCCCGTCGATCGCCACGGTGACCCCTTAACCATGTCCGTTCGGGAATATGAGGCGTATCTGCTTTACGACCGGACGGTTAGTAATTCTCTTTTCCTGCGCGGTGGGCGACTGACGCAGCAATACTGCGTTGACCAATGGGCCAAATGCGAACAAGAACGCATGCGCTTCATCAAGAAGAACCAGCTCCAGTATCGATTGGAAACCCTCCAGGGACTCACGGACGCGTTGCGTGGCGAGTCTGTTGAAATCCACAGAATGGCAGCTGACGACGAGGCGGCCATACGTAGGACTCGGCGTGGGAATTATACGGAGCAGGAGTCGGCGGAGCCAGATGCGGGTGAGCTTGGACGCAAGATAAATATACCTCCGAAGTTTACAGGTGGTCCCCGCTACATGTACCAACGCTTCTTGGATGCCATGGCTATCGTCCGTGAAACAGGAGCCCCGAACCTGTTCATTACGATGACATGCAACCCGAACTGGCCTGAGATCAAGGAAAACTTACGCCGTGGGAAAAGGCATCCGACCGACCGGACATCGTGGCCCGCGTGTTCATGGAGAAACTAAAAGCTCTTGACAAGGATCTCGATGAGGGTGTGCTGGGGATTCAAGCCGCTCGAGTCCATGTAGCGGAACATCAGAAGCGTGGTCTACCCCCACGCCCATATACTCCTTATGCTGCGTCCGGAGGACAAGCCCACTACCGAGGAAGACGTCGATAAGATGGTGTCCTCGGAGCTCCCGGATAAAGAGAAGTACCCCGAGCTGTACGATACGGTGATTTCTAATATGCTGCATGGACCCTGTGGTCAACAGAACCCGAACTGCCCGTGCATGAAGAACGGAAGGTGCTCCAAGAAGTTTCCAAAGGCGCTCGCAGACGAAACGGTGATGACCCCCGACAAATACCCCACGTACAAGCGTGGTCGCCGTCCGGATGGAATTCTGTGCCATAAGGGAAAAGTATGGGACAACGCGACCATCAATCAATGGGTGGTCCCGTACAATCCGTTCCTGTCGCAGAAATACAACTGCCACATTAACGTCGAGGTTTGTGCCACGAACAAGGCCATCAAGTACATCTACAAGTACGTCTACAAGGGCTCGGACATGACGACAATCACGATTGAAGGCGAAGAAATTCGGGCGAACGAAATTCTTCAGTATCTCCTTGGGAGGTATATTTCTCCGGTAGAAGCTTGCATGCGGGTATTCATGCATCCAACACAAGGATCAACACATTCTGTCGTGACGCTACCTATCCACTTGGAAAGAATGAGCATGGTTGCTTATCGCGACCAAGCGACGACCCCCCAGCTTCACAACTTGATTAACCGCGGGGACAGATCAATGCTGACGGAGTTTTTCAAGCTGTGCGCGCGTAACCCAGAAGCTACGGTCAATCTACTGTACATTGATGTACCGCGGAAGTACAGGTGGACGGAACACAAGACGTGGGAACCGTACAAGAAGTACGTTGCTTCTCTGGGACGCTTGGTACACGTATCTCCGCAGGACCCGGAACGCTTCTACTTGCGACTTCTCCTGTGTAACCGACGCTCGCCTAAGTCCTTTGCGGATCTTCGAACGGTTGATGGTACGGAACATCCTACATATCAGAAAGCCGCTTTGGCGCTTGGGTATTTGGAAAATGACGACGAGTGGATACATTGCTTACGCGAAGCCGCCGAGGTCAAGATGCCGTACCAGCTACGCCAGCTCTTCGGCATCATTTTGGTTTACTCGATGCCTGGTAATGCCAAAGATCTATGGGATAGGTTCAAGAAGGATATGTCAGAGGATCATGCACGAAGCATTGAGGAAAGAGACGCAGACCTGCATAAAGTACGCGAAGAGGAGGTGCGTCTTCGAATGGCGGAGTACAAGGCGTTGAAGAATTTGGCTGATTACTTGGTTTCGAACCAAAAGTCCCTCGACATGTACGGCCTTCCTCTGCTAGCCGATTACGACGATGTATCCGCTCAAGTAGACGACCCGGATTCAGCGTCTGTTGATGTTGTCCAGCAAGAGATTGACGCTTACCCCCTAAACGAACTGGAGCATGTTGCGGAGCAGGCAGACCACTTGAACAGCAACCAGAGGGATATTTTTGACCAAGTTATTGCTGCTGTGAGCAGACCGGTTGGAGGGGAGAAGCTTTTCTTTTTGGATGGTCCGGGTGGAACAGGAAAATCGTTTCTACTCGAGCAAATACTCGCTCACGTTCGGATGCAACGTAAGGTTGCCATCGCGGCTGCATCGAGTGGGATTGCAGCCACTCTGTTAACTGGAGGTCATACCGCGCATTCAACGTTCCGGATTCCCCTCAAACTAACAGAGACGTCGACGTGCAGCCTTTCATGGCAGAGCCAAAAAGCCGAATTGATTCGTAGCGCGAGTTTGATCATTTGGGACGAAGCGCCGATGATGAACCGAGCTTGCTTTGAGGCTGTTGACAGGTCGCTTCGAAATATCATGAAGAACGAGCTGGAGCCGTTCGGTGGAAAGGTAATGGTGTTCAGCGGTGATCACCGCCAGATTCTACCTGTACTGAAGGATGCCACGCGTGCGGAGACGATTCAAGCTTGCTTCAAGTCTTCTCCCCTATGGGAGCATTTGCGTCAAGTGCGGCTGACCGAGAACATGCGTGTCCGCACCGCCCCAGACGCGGCCAGTGCGGCTGAGCTAGCAGAGTTCTCTGAATTTTTACTTCAAATCGGAGAAGGCCGTTATCCCGTCAACCATGAGATCGGTGATGGCGACATTTGCCTCCCACGCGACATGTGTATCATTCCAGAACGACGGGTACAAGAAAGGACCTCTGATGAAGAAGACGCGGATATGGAGCCTCCCCCAAGTTTCAGGCTACTACCTCCGGCGGACGAGGAACACGAGCGAGACTTGGACGAAGTTGAAGAAGACCGACGAGTCCGCAATGTCAACGGCTTTATAGATGCGGTGTACCCGGGCGTTGATACTGAGAATATACCCGATGAATACTTCGTTGAGCGGGCCATACTAGCCCCCACAAATGCAAGTGTTCGGCGTATCAACGACATGGTTGCGGAGCGGCTATCGGGTGAAACGAAGGAGTATCTCTCGGTGGACAGCCTCGAAGGGGTCGCGGACGCAAACATGTTTGAGCAGGAATTCTTGAACTCTCTTAACTTCTCCGGTATCCCTCCGCACAGGATTGTTCTGAAGGTTGGAACACCTATCATCATGATTAGAAACCTGAATAGCGACGCAGGACTTTGCAATGGAACGCGGCTTCGGGTTGTGTCACTGCGCGACAGAAGCATCGAGGCCAGCATTATGTCCGGGCCGTTCAAGGGTAAGAAGGTGTTCATTCCTCGGATCGTCTTTTATAGTGAGGACGATGACAAGGAGTTCCCGTTCAAACTCAAGCGTAAGCAGTTCCCCGTGGTTCCAGCGTTTGCCATGACTATCAACAAGGCCCAAGGACAATCGATCCACCACGTGGGTATCTACTTGGAATCACCGGTCTTCGCACATGGCCAGCTGTATGTGGCTTTGTCGAGAGTTACTTCAAGGAAGGCGATCAAGATTGCTGTGGATCCAGAGGCCGTCGATGAGGACGGGAACGTACACACCAACAATATTGTGTACAGAGAGATCTTTGGAACGCGGACTTGGTAGGTCACGTAATGCATATAATATATTTAGCTTTGATTTCGAAATGTTCTTTAATCCACCGCAGCGCAGTGGAGGCGGACAGCCCACACTACACCAACCAACCATGCCCTAGCGTCCGCGGAGCGGGCGCATAGACCGCTAGTCGCTCCGCTTCTAACCTTGTAGCGTGTCCGTCCGTCTGTCAATAAGTCCGTCCGTTTCCTTTCTTGCTGCTTTTTCCTGCCTTTTCGCATGGCTACACTCGGCCTGTCTAATACAGTTTCCATCCATCTTATGGACGGCGCCTATCTTTCTGACTCGACCTAACTATGCCAAAATTACAAATATATCCAAAAGCGTCACACAATAAACTCGCCATCTGATTGGGCAATACCTGCCGACCTGCGACACTGACTGGATCTGTCGCACGATCAGACCGCCTCTCGGCCTCACGATTAAACGTAAGGTAAGCATTTCTGCCCAGCACGAAGCGCACCGATTGGTTGCAAACAGCTAGGCGAGCTGCGCAGATACTTGAGTATTGACATTCAGCG